AGGGAACAGGAGGACACTGAGAAAACTGTACAAAACTCAGGCAGGGGGAGCCTGGGTGGCTCAGTTCGTTAAGCGTCTGCCTTCAGCTCAAGTCATGGTCTCAGGGTCCATGGATCCGGCCCCGAATCTGTCTCCCTGCTCAGTGGGGTGCCTGCTTCCTCTCGCCCTATGCCTCTGCCCTTGCTCCCGCTAGAATTTTCCCTCTCTCCATGCCCCTAGATAAATAAATAAGATCTAAAATGAAAACAAACCTCAGGCAGTGCCAGTCATGTGCCCTGGCAATTATTTTCAGCTAAGGTACCTATCAATAGTTTTAATGTAAACTTCTGTGTGACAAGTGATGGAAAGGGGTCAGCAAAGTTACTGAACATCTGCTTTTACAGTATCTACTTGTGGGAAGGCAAGATGCTAGGAATCCTGAGACAATACAAGGATGAATGTTCCCTGTCCTCAAGGAACACAGATTCAGGATCATAAAAGTATTTGCAGAGCTCGTCACAAACGCATAGATACTGTGGCTCCCCCATACCAGTAACAGTCCAAGCTCAGGATAAGAGAGCGCTGTGACTGAATTCAGGTTGTGCCATCTGCTGACTCACATGGTCCTTTGAGTCTTTCTGTCCTAATGAGGCTTTCTGGACCTCAGATTCTTCCCCTGAGAAAATGGGCTAATACCGGCTTCCTTTTGAGATTTTTTTTTTTTTTTAAGAAAAACTGAGAAAAATAGATGAGAATGAGAATACATGAAGCACGTAAAATGTTTTGCAGCATATCGGACACAGAACCCCCTGCTGTCGATTCAGATTTCTACAGTTCTACGTCTCACTTTCATGTACCACGGATTCACACTGTACTGCGTTACTCAACATTTCCTCAAGAAGCTAGGATACTTCCTTCCTTTGCTGTTGCTCCTCCTGCCACCTAAAATACTTTCAACAGGCTGCCCCTCACGCATGTAAGTGCTGTACACAATTACACCATCAGGTCCCTCACTGTCATCTCAGTTGGTGAAAGCCCACAGCACAGGAGCAGTAGGGAGGGGAGGACAGCCTTTGGAGCACTTGCCACAGTGCAATCTACTCCTTTTTGAGCTATTTGTTTAACGTCTGTTGTCTCTGCCAGACAGTTTTGTGAGGAAGAACCCACAGGTCTGTCATATTCACAGTTATACTCTTCTTAGATGCCACTAATTAGGTACTGAATATACGCTGTTAGGGAGAAGAGCAATATGTTCTCCTTGGGAGGGAGGAACGAACCAACAGAGCAGAGATATAAAGGAGATAAACAAGCCACCAAATGATACACACACAGTCCCTATAATTAATAGGATGAATGACGAGTGAAGGACACTGAAGTCAGAAAGGAGACATTAACAATGGGGGCCATCGACAGCATCAAATGCAATAAGAAATCACAATAGATGTTGCCTCTCTGACTTATGTATTTTTAAAAAACTACTTACAAACCTCAAAGGAGAAGTTTCTCTAGAGTAGTGGAGCAGAAAACCGGAAACAAGGTTGTAGTAAGAGTAGATGGTGAAATGGTAAAAATGAGGGACTTACTGGTAGTTGGGCATGAAGCTTGAAAATTAAGGGAGGAGAACTATATTAGGACAACCAAAGGCAAACTCCTGTGCCAAAGATATGTTTCAAATAAATGTGTCTCTGTGAAGGACATCCAGATGGGGGTGGGGGCTTGGAAGGAAAGAGAGGGACACATTTCTATTTAAACGGGTTGGGGGAGGCTGGTGAAAATACTAAAGGGAAATTCGGAGATTAAAAAATTAGGAACTGGAAGAATCTTGTATCAATTCATTGGGTCTGATTTGCTTAGGGAGTTGGGCCAGAAGGAAAGTGACGAGTTGAGAGTGAAGGGATGAAATTAAAAAGCAAGAGCAACATGGCCTTTAGCTGTAAAAGAACCACCCATCAGCCTTTGTAGGGGGCCTCAAGAGCAGATTTGTATCTGATAATTAATATCTTTTAGGTAAATCGTGATAGCTGTTACAGGTCTTCAAAGAGGAAATGCAGAGATAGTTTAAAAGCAACGGTTTTTCATTAGCCTACAAGATTAATTCATATCAACTTTTTGTACTTGTCAAAAATGTGTCTTCAAATAGCAATTCATACTATATGAGAACAAGGTCAAACTTGGAAAATGGACCACATATTTCGAAAGGTATCAATGAGTTCTGCTCTTTCAACTAGGTATTAAAAACCCTCAAGTTGCATAGTTGTAAGGAATATCAACGACTAGAGATCAGTACCAAAGAATTACTCTATTTCTACCCTGAAGGACATACTTGTTGGTTAGGAAAAAAAAAAAGTCAGGTGGAGAGTCGACAAGTCTAGCAACCCCTCTCATGCCAGCCAACTGTTGTGCTTAGGTTGGACAGGTCATCTCACCTATAAACTAATTCCTGAAAATCTCAAGCTCAGGATCAATTTCTCTTTTTCTCCAGATAATATCTAATATTTACAAAGACTTAAGTGCTCAAGAAATTAGGAGGATATGTGTCCAAAAGCTCTAGAAGGCTTGTAGGACTACAGAAGTTAAAATAAATCTCTTGAACCAAATACCCTTAAGAAGGAAGAACTGGAGTTAAATGAATGAAATGAAATCTCCTCTAAGTCATCATCAAATCATAAGTGATTAGAAATGTTGCCAAAACATGTGTGTGTTCCTAAGATGTGATAACAGAGGTGAGATGATCAGAGATGCATATTCTCCTTTTATTTCTTTAGTACTTCCTGGTATTTCTATAGTGCCCCAATAATTGTAGAATAATTATATTATTAAAATTAATAAATTAATGTTCTTTTTAAAAAGAGATAAAAAAGAATCCCACTCTAGATGTGCTTCCTTTTTTTCCAAACACTAAAAAAAATAGGTGAAGTAAATGCAACAGTCCTTCTAATAAAACAAAATACAGCATTTCATACTTTCCCAACACTCTGTAATTGCCTATGTTTCAATATTCAATGCAAACCTAGCACACATCACGAAATAAATTGCACAGAGCACCCTACCCCAACTCCCGGAAAAGTAATAAAAAAAACACATTTTAAGACGTCCGTGAGAGGTGCAGTCCGTTAAGCATCGAATTCTTGGTTTTCAGTTCAGGTCGTAGTCTCAAGGTCATGAGATGGAACCCCATGTCTGGCTCCACACTCAACACAGAGTCTGCTTAAAACTCATTCCCCCCTCTCCTTTTACCCCTCCCCACCTTCAGGATGTGTAGGTTCTCTCTCTTAAATAAATAAACAGATCTTTAAAAAAAAATACTTTTTAAAAACCATGGAGCTATTTACAAGAAAATTGTACGTTAATTTATTAAAATGAAAAAAAACTGTTAAAAGAGGCCTTCAAATTATTTCTTTTAGCTGAGTTTTTCAAAATGCCACTTTATTCTCTTTAGAATAAATTAACTTCAAATAGATGTTACATGAGTGATAAGCCTCAGGCAGGTGTGTCAAAAGGGAGTGACATGCATGGGGAGGTCAGGTCGAGGGAACAAGAAATGAGCATCGTCTTCTCATTCATTACTCTACCTGAAATGGAGTAACTTCTTTAAATCCAGAAAACAGGAGATTCCTTTCATTAGATTTATGTAGGAAATGTTTGTTCTACAATAGCTTATAGCCCATGGTATGGCTGAAATGACAGCTTTATCCAACAGGCTTAATGCATCCTAGGAGCACAATGCAATGAGTGTCAGAGGGGTTGACTATATATAAAACACACACACAAGTTCTCCGCTTTCAAAAGCAAAACAATCAAGCCAGGGATGACAAATAATTGGATCAACATAGCATTCTCTTTTGCTAAATACCCCAAACCCAAGACTCCTTACTTGTGGAGTCTAATATGTCTCTAAGTAAGTATTAAAATGTGTTAACTTCAATAAATTTCAAAACAAAAATAACTGAAAGAGTACCCACTTTTCCAGGGCACCCGGGTGGCTCACTCAGTTGAGCAACCTACTCGGGTAGGCTGCAACCTACCCAGAGTTTCTGATTCACTAGAGTTAGGTTCATGCCCAAGAATGTATATTTGTCACAACTTCCTAGGCAATGCTGAGCTGCTATCCTGCACTTTGAAAATGGGGATCAAAGATGATTTAACATGCAGCGATGGACACACTCAAAACTCAGAAGAAACAAGTAACCAAAACATGTGTTCATAACAAAGGCACCTACTCAAGGGGATCTACTGGGAAAAAGAACATTATAGTTTGAAATACTGTATGTGTCTGAGTGTGAGCAAAAACAGTATTTATATAAAGGTATTAGTGAAACAGGGATCTCTTAATTTAATGATATATTCCCCCCAAACAAAAAGCAAGGTTACAAAAAAAATTGTTTATATTTAAATTCTATTTAAGAAAAGCATAAAAGACACTTTATATAATAAGTCTGGCAAAGGATACAACTGTTTTTCTTTTTTAATGTAATTTTGGAATCTTAAAATTTATAATGAGAGGAAACTGTTTCACGTACAAAGACTTGATCAAACACAGATTTAAAATAATGACATTATTAACCAGGAAAAAAGGAACAAGAGACTTAACATCTATAACAAGCACACATTTTGAGTTAATGTAATTACTTGTTAAAAGGCAATATATCACCCAGCTTGAGCACAGTACGTTTTCAGGTAAATAATTATCTGAGAAAGCAAGCCTGCAACCTTCTCCAGGAAGCCGACTTCAAAAAGCTTGATCTCAACATGGATTTATCATGTGCATGGAAAATAATCAAAAGAACTCATAAAGCATCAAACTCTATGGCAGGTTTCAGCAAAAAGCAGCAAGATTTTAAAACTGTTTCTTAAAAGATGAATTCTTAACCCACCCTGCCCCACATTTCCCAGGGAAATAAAAGCAGAAGTCCTAAAAGGGGCCAGACGGAAACACTGTGTCTGCACAGCTTTGAGTACAGAGTGTTGGAAGGTAATTTCTGACTGTGAAGTCCTCTCTTCCTCTCTTCATTTCTCTCTAGAACACTCAAGATTTACTGATGAAAGCTCAGCAGATACTTGATCATAAAGAGTAATAACAACTAAACTAAGACACTGAAAGGAAAACACCAGATGCCATTCTGCAGGATGTACTAAATGCCACTTAATGGATACATTTAAATCCTCCTGAATCAACAGAGTAACCAGGTAACTTTATATATAAAGTATTGGACAAATGTATGTGTTTACAAGATGATGGGTGTATACATGTTTGTCAAGTTTTCTTAAAATTGGAAACCTTCAACAATAATTGATATCAATTCAGGTACTTATTTGGAATAAAATTTCAAATACAAGCTGTATTAATGCTGTTAGAGACAACCACTAACTTCTTCATTAAATACACACACACACACACACACACACACACAGCATGGAAATAAAACACAAATGGTCTTGTTTTACCTCGAGTAGAAAGTGAGACTTAAATATAGATAGATGGAGGTGATATCCTGTTATCAAGACTACTCATTAAGTAAGGTGACATTCTATGCAAAATGAGCATTCCCAACAGATAATTTTCGAAACAATCAGAGAATGCACAAATTAGAGTATATAGCAGTAGCAAGGAAGCTTAAAATCTACCATCTTACCTCAATTTAATACTGAATTAGTAGTATTGTTGTTTAGTTATTTCTTCATGTTAAACAGGGAAGGAGGTATTGAAAATTAAGCCCTAATTGTAACACAAATCTTTTTTTCATGACATTAATCTTTTATTCAATAATTAGACAATGAAATACTACATTTGTGGGAATTTAGTATTTTCTCTATTTGTTATACTTAAGTTTTTTACATGGAATCTTTTTGTTTGTTTTAATTTGGATATGTATGCTTTGAACAACACCATGTCTTATACTTCGGAATAACATTGATATAGAATCAATTCTATTTGCCTTTGATGAAATAAAAACGTTAATTAGACGCCCGATAATGTATTCAAGTCAAGTGTTAATTTTCTTTTATAGCCCCCTGTTGTGGTATAATAACCTAGGGAACCAGACAAGGACGTGGCTTTAATACTTTATTTTAGCTATCATTATATACTCTATAGACTGGAAAGTATGCCCTGGCTGTTTTGAAGAACAGCATTTGATGACTATTTCTTTTTGTGTGCTGGTTTGTTTTTTTTTTTAAATGAAGGATATTTAAGAGAATGTATGTAAAAATTTCAAATATACTGTGCAAAGTCAGAAATAAGACATATGTGGTTTAAAATATTTGGAGCTAAAAAATTAGTCTGAGGCTGATTTCTGAATGGGTGACTGAGCAATACACAGGCAGAAATATCTTCCAATTATAAAGTTTTATATCTGATTTAATATTTAACAATAAATTCCCTTCAAGTGATTTTATACAAATTTCTTGCCCCTTTCTACTTTTAAATTCTAAGAGCCAATTATCCGTCACTTCTCCTTGGAACCCTTTGATGGTTATCAGAGTAAATGAAGCCCAGGAATAATGAGAATGCAGAAAAAGTGACTGTGAATAGAAATAAAAAAGCTAAAAGGCATGGAAATGAAGCTGTAAAGGAATAAAGCACAGTCCATGTTTCCCTTCCCATTTCTACACACTGTCCACATGTGCCTAACTAAAACGTCCTTTAAGAGGCAAACATTTCACAACTGAGAAATACAAAGTATCTCTACCTTCATATAACGTACTTCAGACCATTTTATTTGGCATTTGCCACAATTAAGTATTCTGAGATTCAATTTTCTGTATTCTTAATGTCACAATAAGGATCGGAAAGCTCAGTTTTTAGAAAAAGCTGTCCAGAGGGCGCTTGGGTGGCTCAGTCAGTTAAGCATCTGCCTTCGGCTCAGGTCATAATCCAGGATCCTGGGATGGAGCCCACGTGGACCCCCAGTTTGGGCTTCCTGCTTGGCGGTAAGCCTGCTTCTCCTTCTCCCTCTGCCCCCTCCACCCCTGTTGTTATACTTGTGTGTGCTCTCTCGCTCACTCTCTGCCAAATAAATAAAATACTTTTTTTTAAAAGTTACACAGAGATAAAACCAAAATCGACAGTCTGGGACTGAAAATAACCATCCCTACTCTCCTCTCCTAGGTAGTGAAGAAGAAACACAAGCCATGGACAACCTCACCTCTGTGGCTGTGAATGGCAGCTTATGCACCAGAGATTACAAGATCACCCAGGTCCTCTTTCCGCTCCTTTACACTGTCCTGTTTTTTGTTGGACTCATCACAAACAGTCTGGCTATGAGGATTTTCTTTCAAATCCGCAATAAATCTAACTTTATCATTTTTCTTAAGAACACAGTCATTTCTGATCTTCTCATGATTCTGACTTTTCCATTCAAAATTCTCAGTGATGCCAAACTGGGAACAGGACCACTGAGAACCTTTGTGTGCCAAGTGACCTCTGTCATATTTTATTTCACAATGTACATCAGTATTTCATTCCTTGGACTGATAACTATTGATCGCTACCAGAAAACCACCAGGCCATTTAAGATGTCCAACCCCAGCAATCTCTTGGGGGCTAAAATTCTCTCTGTCGTAATTTGGGCATTCATGTTCTTACTCTCTTTGCCCAACATGATTCTGACCAACAGGAGGCCAAAAGACAAGAATGTGAAGAAATGCTCTTTCCTCAAATCAGAGTTTGGTCTGGTCTGGCATGAAATAGTCAATTACATCTGTCAAGTCATTTTCTGGATTAATTTTTTAATTGTCATTGTATGTTATACACTCATTACAAAAGAACTGTACAGGTCATATGTGAGAACAAGGGGTGTAGGCAAAGTCCCCAAGAAAAAGGTAAACATCAAAGTTTTCATTATCATTGCTGTATTTTTTATTTGTTTTGTTCCTTTCCATTTTGCCCGCATTCCCTACACCCTGAGCCAAACCCGGGATGTCTTTGACTGCTCTGCTGAGAATACTCTGTTTTATGTTAAAGAAAGCACACTTTGGTTGACTTCCTTAAATGCATGCCTGGATCCATTCATCTACTTTTTCCTCTGCAAGTCCTTCAAAAATTCCTTAATGAGTATGCTTAAGTGCCGCAATTCTGCAACGTCTCCATCCCAACAAAACAGGAAAAAAGAACAGGACGGTGGTGACCCAAGTGAAGAGACTCCAATGTAAAACACCTGAGGTAATATTCCAACCTATTAGCGTTTGGAACATCCAAAAGGAAAGCACTGTGTAAAAATACCGACTAATAGTAAGCTGAGTTAGTAACAATGACTCTCTAAACAAGTAGTAGAAAACAACGTAAGTCATTTTCATTAACTTATCCAGTATTAAAAGCTGTCTTAAAATGTAGAAAAAGAAACCTAACATGTAGATGTTTAGCAAAATGAACTGTATCTAATCATCGTGGTTATAAGCCAAACTACATAGAAGTCATGATTTGTAAAGTGTTAGCACTGTGGGTGACCGTAGGATATCTGTTGTAATTTTTTTAATATGTTATTGAACACAGTGTAATTATCAAGTTATAATCAACTAAGGAAAAATGATAAAGCTGATAAAAACCTTCTGACTGAAAATTATACTGAGATGTGCATACACTCTAGTCCCTAACCAAATGCTGATCTATTGTGATACTCATTATAATATTTTAAGTGGGACACTTAACAAAGACTATTAAAACTACTAACTTCTAACTATTAGCAAAAGCCTAAGAAATTTAAACTAATTGAAATGGTAACTGGACTGAACTTTTTAAATTTTCATTAAAAAGATAGGTTTTAAAATACTTGTCCAATAAAAAGAGCAGAAATAGCAAAATCATTAAAAGTTATTTCTATGACCTTGTAATACCAAAAAACTCTTTGAGTATTTCCTCAATCCTGGAGAAACCAGTTTTATTAATGGTAAAATGCCATCATTGCCACTTACCTTTATTAACTAGCTTTCAGAAACTACCTGCTATTTGGGTTAATGAATATTGCTTCAGTGAGAAAAACAAATGTGAATATATGGTTGCAAAGCATAACTATTAGCAGAAAAGTGGATAAAATGTTCCTAATTACTGGTTTGTCACTTGTGTGAAATACCAAAAAAAAAAAAAAAGTATATTAAACTCTAAATCACACTTTGTTGGAATTTCTTTGTTCAAAGACATTAGGTACCACAGCTGACCTCTTATATACTCCTACATCAAGCACCAAACCTTTGTAATAAAGGATAACTGCAAAAATTTTTATGACACATCACTGGGCAAAGTCTCTAGTGAAAGTGCCATAACACATCAATTAGTTCATAAGTAAATGATAATGAAATATGATTCTACACAAGCCGTAGTCACTATTTTTACTACAAACAAAATATATAACAGAGTTGGAAGCTGATATTATTTATTTTAATTATTTATGATCCCCAGAGATGATTCTCAAATATAAGGCATGGATACCAGTATCAAAATATGATGAGAAGGGGGAAAAACAGAGGGTGAGTTGCAGTATATGGAAGTTAACTGAACTTTAGTATTAATCAATTTTTATCTAAATCCTCCACAAATTCTGCTGAGCTAAATATCAGTGCAAAGTTGAACTCACTCAACTTTCTAAATGAGATCTATTCTCAAGTAGTTGCATTTACTTCCCCGGCACTTCTACAGGCAAGAACTGCGTGTTAGTGGTGAAGCACAAAGAGAAATGCTTCAAAAATGAGGCATGTTCTACATAGTGTGAGTCTACATTCTAACCACGTAGACTAACACAATTCACTTTAACATCACATGTGTAAGTGTACACATTCTGTAAGAACAGCAGGATAGTTAAAATGGAAGAAAACCAGAGGCCAACTCATCTATCTTCTTACTTTGCATACGAGAAAAATGAAGGGCAGATCCACCCCTCAACTCATCTGAGTCAGGGGGTACAGAGTGGGTTGAAACTGACACCACGGTGCCATGACCACATGAACTGCTGAGAGACTGCAGAGTGGGCAAAGACTTTCTCAAATAATCTTTCCCTTTGTATGAAATTAACTCACTGAGAGGACAATTTCCCTAACAGAAAGAAAAAAACAGAAAAACAAAAATGCCAATGGTATTACAGTATTCTTATAAAAGAACTATAAAGTGTTCAGAATTACCTACGTTTTTATACATAAAATGAAAAAATTTACATTAAACTCTAAATCACACTTTGTTGGGAATTCCTTATTCAATGACATGACATAGCATGCACTCCGATACCAAAAATCAAACTGAATCTACTCAAGATGGACCGAGGGATCAGTATTTACAAGGTACTCAGGACACACAGAATAGGTCACTATTTCCAGGTTTAAGAATTTTAATATACATAACAAATCCCAGATTTCATAATAACTTTAAAAAAAAAAAAAAGGAAGGCACATTTTGTAGACTCAGATCCAGAAGTTGAAAAATTCAGATGAGACAAAAAAAAATGTAGTCTTGCTAATAGCCTTAGGAGCTAACAAGTCCGAAGGATGCTGGTTAGGGGCAGTTTGATATCACAGTGGTTTTTACAGAAACAGTCTAAACCAGGTGTGGCAAAGTATAGCCTACAAGCCAAACCTAGTTCATCCCCCACCTTTTTGGATCACCTGTGACCTAAGAATGGTTTTTACATTTTCAAATATCAACAGAGAAAATACTACAATTAAAATTTCATGCTGTATTAAAGTTATATGAAATTCCAGTGTCAGGGGCCATAATAAGGTGTATTAGAACACGGCCACTGCACTCAGGTTTTATCCATGGTTGGTTACCAGCTCCAACAACAGGGTTGAGTAGCTGGGTTGTGGTAAACACTGCATGGCCATAAAACCAAAATATTTACTAGGTGGTTCTTTAGAAAAGACGATTGACAAACCCTGGACCAGAACTCTAAAAACAGGGAGCGAACAATCACAAGAAGAACCCACTATTCAGGCATCTAAGTGTTTCAGCAGTTTTACATTACAAACAAACTAAAAACTACAGATTCCGGTGCCTGATCTGGGTGATCACTGTTGATTGGAAATGCCCAAAGTGAGATTACAGTGATGCCAGTTGGAACTAAATATGTAGAAATGCACATACAAGTTAGTAAATAAAGAGAAACAGCCTGATTTTTTTAAATGGGAAAAGGACATAAAAAATCCAATTCTAAGAGAAATACAAATGGACATTAAAAATACAAAAAAATATATACTCTCACTAATAAGCAAGTATATTTACATTTAAATTGCATGGATTTTTTTTTTCACCTCTAAGTTTAGAATTGTTTTAAAAGATTTTTACAACAGTGTTGAAAGGAAAAATCCCACTCAGTGAGACTGTAAATTGGTACAATCTTTCTGGAAAGCTATTGGAAAATATCATTCAACATTTTGCTGCACAGCTTTTGTCCAGCAATCCCACTTCCAGGAAATTTTCTACAAATATGTTGAAACAACTACAGAGAAATATATGGACATACATGTGATCTACAGTACTGTTTTTAAGAGAGAAAATTTTGGAAAAAAGAAAAAACACGAAATGTCAATCAGTAATGGCTTAACCAAACTATGGTAACTTTCTATAGTATAACTCAAAAAAAAAAAAAAAAAAAACAGGTAAATCTTCACAGACTAACTGAAAAGGAAATAAAGATCTGATATGTCAATAAAGGTAAATATATATATGTGCACACACATGGGTATACATATGCAAGGGGAGATTAACTTTCAGTTTCTACTATACATATGCTTATATTTGAATTCCTCAAATTTGCTTATCTTTTATAATAAAAGAAAACAGATATTAATATGTTTAAGGTAATACTATGACTTCATTGTTTCTACTTATCTGTAGAGATTTTCTAATACTGATTTTACTTATAGACACTTCTACAGTTAATGTTAAACTACATAACTTATTTTAGCTTATTATTATTTCCACTTTCAGTTAATCCAGTGTGGAATTTTTTAAACAATTTTATATCATCTGAGACAGTACCGTGCTATGATCTGATGGGAAGTAAAAGGTTCTTTTTGTAGGAGTTCCCACTATGACTTTCATTCCAAATCAAAACAAATATTTCCTCATCTTTTCAGATATTATTTAGATGGTACTAGTTAACCACATCAACAGGAATCTTTAGACTATTAACTCTGATCCAAAGGAAAATCCCAAAAGAGACCACAAATGAAAAAAACAATTTATTGCCATTTGACAGGCTTCTAATTTCTATGAGCTTTCAATGTATCTTCTTTAATTCTTTCCAGATCACACCACTTGGAACCATTTTATATTTTCAACCATTTAATTCACCATAAGGGAAAAGGTTTCACAAATTCATTAAACTTTAAATTGAATGTTACTCTTCACTCATCAATAAGTAATACAAAGCTCAGAAAGTCTAGAATCTAGTAAACAATTCCAGTTCACCCTATCTGTGGTTTCTGACAGTTGGGAGTGTGAGGCCGGCTCTGAGCATGGCCTCTGAACCAGACTGCGTGGGTCCGAAGTTGGCTTGAATGCATCATTATGTTCAAACTGCTTAACTGTTTGCCTCAATTTTCTGCTCTGTAAAATGGGACCAATACCCGAGGATTTTTGTTGAAAAGTAAGTAAGATCATATTATCATTTAGAGCAGTATAACTACTAGCTATACGAATTTTATTGGTTTTGACTACATATAGGACTTAAAATTTGGTTTCTTTCCATTTGGCAAATTTCTAATTTCTGAGATCTTTCATTTCATCTTTGATTTTTCCCCACCCGTCATTTGTGATCTATCCCCAAAGGTATACACGGCATCCCACTTTTAACGTCATTCAACAAGAAACATACTAACATCTAACACATGTGAATTTTCACTCATTTCATTTCCTGAACAACCCAACAAAGTAAATACTATTATTTATTTTCATTGTAAGGAGAAGGCAACTGTTTCATAGAAAACATAAATAATTTGCCCAAGGTCACAAGAAAATAAGAGCTGCAATAGAAATTGAACCCAGGCACTCCAACTCCTGAGACAGTGCTCCTAACTTCTCTGCTGGGCATGTTAAGCACATGGATATATAGCAATGTGTGGTCTATTGGATATTTAGTATGGTCAAACATTTTGAAACTTGCCCCATTTGAAAGAACATATTCCCTAACTTTAGAAATGGGCACTGTTAAGTCAGTTCCTCTTTTGAAAGTTTCCCACACTTGGACATTTTGAAAGTTGACCAAAATGTGATTTCCAGTTTTCTTATTATGAAATTTTCTTGTACAGCATTTCCTTATTTAAACTGAAACTATTCCAAACCTCCATCTAGATAATGGCTTTGGAGATTTAGGTTAATTTATACTTAATTATGTAGGTCAAATACTTCTACTTAGAAAGTAAAAATAGTTTATTTCTCCTCCACTGAAGCAAGCAAGAAGATGCATGTTTAAATTATGTTCCATCACATTAATGAAATCCAGAATCTGTATTTCCAAGAAACAATTTATTTGAGTCAAACATACATTTTTTAAACTGTGCCACATTTGGTAGTTCCCACAAAATTATCAGGCATACTATTGCCTCATATTTTAAACATCCAGGGGGACAGGAAATTTTTCTTCTCAGAATCCCAAAACAGGCGATCCCAAAATTCTCCACCAACACAACCCCAGTCTGGTCCAACCCTGTGGTGAAACGTGCAGTAAAAACTATGATGTGAAACTCCATGGAGAACTCCACATTCCCCTCATAAGGTCCCTTAATTTTCCCCTTCCCTTTATCTACCTGGCAGGGAAACATTTCGATTCATTGACAACAAGTGTCTTTACTACATAAAGCAGCAATTACACCCTTTCAAACTTGAAGAGATTTAAAGGATACATTTTATAGACTTTGGCCTAAGGCTGACTGATGAAATTCCTGAGTCTTTAGCAGTTCACATACAGCATTAGATATAGAGAAATTTCCAAAATGGTTTCTAATGAGTGAAATTATCTCCACTGAAATCTGCAGTTCACGCACCACTGCAGGAAGGGGTGAACGTTTCTTAGCGTTTCCTACATACCTGCTACAATTCTAGACAACTGACACTCATTTTGTCTTCTCATTAACACCACGTGGTATATACTCTCATTACATCCAGTATATAGATGAGGAAACTGAGGCAGAAAGCTCTTAAATCATTTGTCTATGATCTAGCACCCAATAATTGCTGGATCTTGGATTCTAACCCCCAAATCTGGGTCTAACAGCCCTGAACTTTTGGAAAATATGTCAATCTCTCTGAGATAAAAGACCAAAAGACTGAGATAAATGTAAAAATAAGAGGTCATCCTACTGAACACAGATTTCTGGACAAAGCAGTCTACAAGAGTGCAGATGATGATTCTGACTTTAGAATCAGCACTTGCTCTCTCCTCCATGGCTGTAGTTTGGGACTAATTTATTTCTTTATCTCCCACCTATTATTAGATACAAGAGGCACTCAAAAATTCCATTGACTGTGTAGATAGAAAAGATAAATTACCAAAAGGTATTAGATGAGAAAATATAAAGATATTCAAGTCACAGTAGATTAACAGCACCTAAGCTTCATATAAAAGAGGCTTATTAGAAAATCTGCAAAGGTTTGAATATGAAGACATTCTAATTGATCACATTACACATGTGAAAATGAGGAAGGAAACCCGGTATAAGAAAGCAGAACAACACTTGCCTCACATGCTCTTCATGGGCCAAACCAAACACTGCCTCAATCAGAAGAAACAGCTCAGGATTCTCCCAAACAAAGGTGAATTTCAACTTTTATTATGAGTGGGCTTGTTTATAAGAGAAAGAAAATGTTCGGGGCGGCGGGGGGGGGACACTTTAAGTAGACATTCTAGAAACCATAGATTATGAGCGTAAGGAAATATGTAACGTGCAGCAATCTGACATGAATTATGACTTCTTAAATGGGTCTTGTTTTACTGCATGTTAATAGGAGCACTTACAAAGGAGGAAGAACCTGTTATTTGGGTTTCATAAGGGTGTAAAAGTAATGGTACTATTGCAGGTCCCAAAAATGTAGTACATGTTTAAAAAACCCTAGCTAGAAACAATATGTGCCTTTTCAACTCCTCTACTGAATGCGATGAGTAAATGTAAGGTGTTAATATGCTACACACCTACATTTAAAAGACTGCTTTTAAACATACCACTCTGAAAATTATGAAATCCTTATTTCCCTTTGTGTGTGTGGTTATCTGTGATAGCGGACACTGGCAACCATGAACACCACAGCGATCAAGAGCTTCAATGGGTCTGAGCAGTGCCCCAGAGACACACGGGTAGCGCAGTTGGTATTCCCAGCCATCTACACGGTCGTGTTCATCCTCGGCATCCTGCTGAACACTCTGGCCCTGTGGGTGTTCCTTCACATCCCCAGCTCCTCCACCTTCGTTGTCTACCTCAAAAATACTCTGGTGGCCGACTTGATAATGACGCTCACACTTCCATTCAAAATCCTCTCCGACTCACACCTCGGACCCTGGCAACTCCGGGCCTTTGTGTGTCGTTTCTCCGCTGTCATCTTTTATGAGACCATGTATGTGGGGATCATACTGCTAGGCTTTATAGCCTTTGACAGATTCCTCAAGATCATCAGGCCTTTTGGAAAATTCTTCGTCCAAAAACCTGCTTTTGCAAAACTGGTCTCGATCCTCATCTGGCTCCTCTTGTTCCTCATCTCTCTGCCAAATATAATCTTGAGCAACAAGGAAGCAACGCCATCAACCGTGAAAAAGTGTGCCTCCTTGAAGGGCCCGCTGGGGCTGAAATGGCATCAAGGGGTGAACAACATATGCCAGTTCATTTTCTGGACTGTTTTTGTCCTGATGCTTCTGTTTTATGTGGTGATTGCAAAAAAAGTATACAACTCTTATCGAAAGTCCGGAAGTAAGGACAGCAAACACAACACAAAGCTGGAAGGTAAAGTATTTGTTGTCGTGGCCGTATTCTTTGTGTGTTTTGCTCCATTTCATTTTGCCCGAGTTCCATACACTCACAGTCAAACCAACAGCAAGACTGACTGTAGGTTGCAAAATCAGTTGTTTATAGCTAAAGAAACAACTCTCTTGCTGGCAGCAACTAACGTTTGTATGGACCCCTTAATATACATATTCCTGTGTAAAAAATTCACAGAACGCCTCCCATGTATGAGAGGGAAAAAGACCACAGGATCAACTCAAGAAAATCAAACCACTCAGACAGATAATATAACTCTAAGCTGATAACTTTATCATGACTACTTTCTATTTAATGGATTAAGACTTCAACAGATAATTGATTTGGGAATCAAATTTAAGCAGTGAAAGAAAAACAGATGAGACAAATGCTTTCTTACATGTTATTACCCTGGTTTACAGAAAGGATTATACAAATTTTAATTCCACATAGACCCCATTGATGAGCAGAATGAAGTATCATTCAGAGAAAACAACTGAAAGCAAAGTGGCCACTAGAGGTCATCTTTTTGAAAGCATTCACTTGCATTTTAGAAAATATTGTGGATAAATGTGAATTACTAAGAAAGACCCTTCCAAAACACTTTCCCACATTCTTTGACATACATAAGTCAAACAACACTATTGCTTTCGTGCCCTACAACTGCTGATACTTGCTGATTTAAAAACAACAAACAAACTTGAAAATCCTTGGATGAAAGCTGAAGCTAGTGGTTGAAAGGGATGTTGGATATGGAGCATCTGGGGAGTTGAAAGAGGGCCAGAAAACCCTGAGAAAGCCTGGATGAAGGAATTTCTCCTTATAAAGAGCCTCTTCCAGTATCAAGAGTACTGACATTTCAGGAGGCACAGATGATTATTAAGCCACATAAAATATACTGTAGTACTTTGCATAGGTCTTCAGTGTGTACAATTTAAGGGCAAGAACACAGGACTGATACTCTTTGGAATTCTCCCTCTGCCCAGCAAATACTCTAATGGCAGCTGAACATGCCAGCTACTGAACAAAGCCTGCCTAGGTCACAACCTCTACCCAGATGCTCATACCGCTGGTGAAAACTAACTACTCCTCCCACTGTTTGGGCATGTGTTAGGGCCCCCATGGCAGATTTCCCTTCACTAGTTAACAATATCCGTAACTGCATCCCTGAAAGATGGCCTGCATTCTTTAAGAAAGATAATATATTTTAAAGACCGAAACCATGTCGTATTTTCTAGGTACCTCCCACAATATTCCCCACAGACCATGAATTACAACTGTTTGAAATACAGTATGTCATTGTTGTGTCATTCTGGGTACATTTATGGAGGGAATGCTGACCCACAATCACTAGCATCCATACTGGGGAAATTTAGCAAAGGATGACTACCTGTTGTTACTTATTTACCTCTACATTTCTTCTTGAATTCCCTGTGTGCTTCAAAACAACTAAAATGCGGTCATCTAGAATTGTGGACACGGATTTATATCTCTAGAGAAAATGCACAAAGGAGTAGTCATGCTCTGTAAATGTGCCTCTGGCTCCAACGCGATCACCATAGCTGAAACCCAGGCCTCTTCCCATGTTTTCCAAGGCGCTAAAGGCCCTGGAACTTCCCCACCTTTCTGGCCTTATCTCCTAACTGCTCTTCCATCCCTGGAACATGACACTCTTATGGATGTTTGTAACTGTCAAAACATGCCTTGCTCCTTTTCGTCCCTGGGCCACTCACTGCACAGGTAAATCTCCCTTTGACCCAATCATGAAACCCTAAGATGCCATCACTTGGCCCATGAAATCTCTTCTAGTCAACCTCCCACCACCATCTCAAACCCAATCACCCCCTCATTGGACTGTTGTCACACCTCAATTATTGTACTTATCACACTGCTTTGTAATTACTTGCCCACACACATACCTACTCTTTTAATAATCTATGTATATTTTTGGGAGCAGAGATTGTGTCTCATTGTGAAATCAATAAATATTTGATAAAATAATCCAAGGTGGTTTTATTTTCACATTCTAGAAGAGCAAAGAGGAAGCCAATTCTCACTGATGCTGTTATTTTCAAAAGGTGATATAAATTCAATGAAAACGCAAGCTCTTTATAGTTGCCTTCCTACAGCATGTACCCAGGGCTCTGGGAATTGGGAGTGTTCCTGGGTTTCCTAGTAAATGAACATGAAGAGAGCAGGATTACTAAACAGGACATGGATAGCTTTGGGGCTAATGTCTGTCAGCATTTCAGTTTTAAAACTACAGACAAAATGCTTTAGTGACGTGTTGTTGGTTTTGGTTAAGAAAAATCTGTAACTGTAGCATATTACAATCTCCAAAACTCTTCTAGAAAATACTCTTAATGTTTTGTCTTCATTCTCTGAAATAAAAGAATGAAATTGTGGTAACTGCTAGAGATGCCACTAAATCCACACTGCCTTTAAGTACATTAAAGCTGCATTACACAATCACATGTAGACTCTAATAGTGCATTATAAATAAATAAATATATATAAAAATATAAATATCTTGATAATATACAGAATTTTTTTTATAAAGATCTTTTGAGGGGCACCTCGGTGGCTCAGTCATTAAGCGTCTACCTTCGGCTCAGGTCATGATCTCAGGCCTGGGATCAAGCCCACCATCAGCCTCCCTGCTCAGTGGGAAGTCCACTTCTCCCTCTCCTTTTGCCCCTCCCCCTGCTCATGCTTGCTCTCTCTCTCCCTTTCTCCAACAAATAAAATTTTTAAAAAGATATTTAAAGATAGAGTTCTAAAATTATGCGCACCCTAAATACAAATATTTAATTCTATTATAGTAACATGATAGTGAAAAGCTGAGTACCTGATTTGCAGAGTGAAAAAATCTATGAAGAACTTAGGGGATGGGTATATTAGAGCCACCTTAAAATCATGTTCACAGAATGCAAAGCAACCGTTTGAAGAGAACTTTCCAAACTAACAATCCCAAATACTAAATTCTACAAAGCTTATAGAATGAGATGCTATACCATAGCCGTTTATGACTGAAACAAGAAAACAAAAGGGGGGGAGACAATAGTTAGCTTTAATATAATCTGTGAGCTCCAAACACAAATAAGAGCTTTTGTAAGAATTAAATATAATTGTTTTAACTGGATGTAAGCAATATGAATATAGAACACGCATTAAATTGGTACTTCGCAAAGTGCCACGGGGAGCAGAACCAGCCACGGGGAGCAGAACACAGACTGCTAAGCCCACCCCCAGAGTTTCTGATTCAGGAGGTCTGGGGTGAGGCCTGAGTTTGCACTAAATTTGCAGACATGACTGATGCTACTGTTCTGGACCACATGTTAAGAACTACTGTGTTAGGGGCGCCTGGGTGGCTCAGTGGGTTAGAGCCTCTGCCTTCGGCTCAGGTCATGATCTCAGGGTCCTGGGATCGAGCCCCACATCGGGCTCTCCGCTCAGCGGGGAGCCTGCCTCTCCCTCTCCCTCGACCTGCCTCTCTGCCTACTTGTGGTCTCTGTCTGTCAAATAAATAAATAAAATCTTAACAAAAAGAAAAAAAAGAACTACTGTGCTAACTGCTCCTTGAGGTTCATACTGAGAACTGAGCATACTGTTCCTTGAGATTCAGAGCTCAGCCTTCTTGGACATGAGTGCACAGGAGTGGAATCTGTTGGCAGGAGAGAGACAAAACTGTTATGAAGCGAACACGGCAGATGTAAGGTGACAGGCAGCGGCGGGGGGTTGGCTACCTGAAAAGTTCATGCCCAGCCTACAGGGGTTTCTACTACTCTGGGCCAACGGTTGCCACCGGAGGGATTTGGGGGCCCAGGGCTGCTGGCTAGCAGCAAGCACAGAAGAACTGACCGGGTGACAACAAACGCAGCACACACTACTTACTCTTCACTATGTATGAGGCAAGTCTACCAAGAGCTTTCAACAGACTGTCCCAGTGAATAATCCCAGGAAGTGCTCAGAGACAAAGAAGTTGAGAAACAGAGAAGCTAAGCAACTTGCATGGGGACCTCACAGCACAGACAAAGCAGAACTAGGACTGTAATTCAGACTCTGGCTTCAGAGCCCATACTCATAACCACTATATTCACCACCTCAGATATTCTAATGTTCTCAAGAGAAATCATAAATCCTATCTCCCGTATTTCCGGCTCCTTTCAAAACTTCCGTAGCCACCTCCACACTCCTTGACCCCACAGAAACAGTTCGTTCATGAGTGGGCTCTGACTAGCCCAGGTGCTGCCAGGTATTTGGCTCTGACCTAGAAGTGAGCAAGAGCTTCCCCGGGCCTCAACACACAAGGACTGCAGTCCTTCTGAGGGCTTGTTATGTGCCAGGCACCATGCTGTGTGCTCTGCAAGGACAATCACCCTCTCTGTTTCTCACTTCAACTCTATGAGAGAGATACCACAGGGCTTCCTGTTGGACGGCAACATAAAAAGAAAACTGAGACACAAAGCAAAAAGATACGTGGCCCACGGTCAGGCCTGGGCAAGCAGAGGCAGAGCTGGGGCTAAAATCCAAGCAGGTGGCCTTGGGCCCAATACCTCGATGGCTCTGCTACACCATTGGGACAAGTTCCTCAAGACTTGACATTACACCCCAGCTGCAAGGATGGTAAGGAGGTGGCTCCTGAAGAGGAAGGGAGAGGTCTCAGTACAAACGAGGTCCGAAACCTCAGGGGCTTGAGTGGTTCAGCCCTACGAGTACCTCCAGCACTCGAGAGGTCTTGAGAGACGTAAAATTCCAAAGAGCGGGTTCACAGATTCACTGAGTCAGTCATGCCTTCAGTGCAGGGCCCTTTGCCTCCCTGAAAGCACTCAGTGGTCAGGCACACATCCCACAACAGATAAAATTGTGGAAGCAGTATGAGAGACATAATTCACTCACCATTAACAACTGAAAGGAAAAGGTAGCTCACTCCAAATGGAGACAATGAGGAAGGGCTTGCAGGAGATGACAACGAGGGCTGGACCCTGAGGAAAGAGACAGAGCATGCGAAAGGGAATGCTGCTAGGCCATGAGCAGTCTGGAGGAAGGCTCAGCTAGGGGTGGGGAAAGTGCTATGGCCAGAGCACAAGGGGCTATGGGGGCTGGGGGATGCAGCACGTGAACGTAAAAGATGAGCCTGGGAATGCAGTATAGGAGCCTGCAGCAAAACGCTAGAGGTCTTGTGTTGGATTGTATAGACTTCTCGATGAACCATGGAAAGTTTCTGAAGTGAAGAACTACACGCTCTTTGCTTGTGCTTTAGGAAAATCAATTTGCCACCAATAGGGCGAGTAAGGAAGAGCCACTGAGGACTGGAGATCGATTAAAGAAGTCTTCCACAGATGCAGGCAAGAGCCAAGGAGGAAAACTGTTCAGAGACAGAGGTTTTGAGTCCAAAACCATCGGAGAGTAGGAGGTTGTATGTAAAATGTATGTAATTAATAGGCAAAATGTATTTTCAATGGGGCCCATAATCCCCACCCTACCCTCCTTACAGTTGAGATTCATTGCTCTGAAGACCATTAGACTGAGTGATATATTAGACCATAAAGGCAAAGAAACAGATTCTGGGTATGATTAAAGTCTCAGAAATGGGTCAAAAAATCTAGCCAGAGGAGACAAAATATGGATCCAGGGCTCTGAAGACAGTGCTAGATCAGATGGCATGAAGAACATTTTTTCTGAGACAGTAAGAAAAGAAATGAGCTGAGCATCCCAGAGTCCACGCCGTGCAGTGTCCTGTACAGAACAGACAGAAGAGATGCCTAGAATGCGGAGTTTAGAGGATGGAAGGTGGGGGCTGACTTAAAAGGAGGAGCAGGAGATCTGGTATACTGGAAACTAAGGAAGAAATAATAGTCAACAAAATCAAACATTCTAGAAAGGTCAAATGTGATGAATCTACAAATATTGAGGTTAGCAGTAACACTGAAAAGGTGGGGTAGAGCCCCATATGTAAGAGGAAGTGAGAGACTATGAGTAACTCTCATCTTGCCACAAAAGACAAATCAGTTTACAAGAGTTCCAAGGAGAAAAGAACAACTGCTGGTACTTTACCTCAGCTTTTTCCAAGGGTTTCTAAGAACAGACAGAGTGGTCCCTTCCTACACCTTGCAGAGCAAAAGCACTCCATGTGAAAAAGCAAACAGAGCAGAAGTGCAAACACACGGCAGGTATAACGCGTGACCATGAAAATCCAGCTTCAGCCAGAAAAATGGATATGCCAACGTTTCAGGCATTAATATTACCTGGGTTTCTGATACCTAGGCCAACACCCCCCCCAACACTCAGCATATTATTCATAGGGAAACCAGGGGCAGCACGGATAAAGACACCAAATGGTAGGGATGGGAGTTGAGAATATAGAGGAAAGTAACAAAAGAGAAAAAAAGAATAGAGAAGAGAAAGGAAATTGAATTTAACACTTACAGTAGTAGGTAAACTAATTTTTTTTTTTAAAGATTTCTTTATTTAGAGAGAGTTTGTGTGTGAGCAACTTGGGGTGGGGGCACGCTCGATGTAGGGCTCCTTCCCAAGACCCCAAGACCATGAGATCAAAACCTGAGCTGAAACCAAGACCTGGATGCTCAATCAACTGAGCAACGTTTTTAGAAAAAATTCCATATCTCATTCAGCATGTGAATTCTTGCCACTTCTATAATAAAACTCAAATTGACAAATGTAACATCTCAAGGCATGGTAATAAAAATGTCTACCTTTATTTTAAAAAAAACAGCTTAAATATTCCAGAAGCTTGTACATGACTGTATTTGGTAGTGTCCATCTTGAACAATTTTACCTATCTGGTAAATAAGGTCTATCTGAATACTTATATAGCTCTTTAGGAACATTGGCTCTGTGCATTAAATTTTCTCATATAGACATATCATATCACTCAACACATTTTTTTCCCTTTTTACTCTGTTTAACTCTGTTTAACTGAAATTTCCTACAATCAAAAATGCCTGAACTACAAGTAAATGAAGCA